CCGTCTCTCGACCGAACTTGCTTTTCTCTCGACAACCAACACACCACTGAACATGAAATAAAGTTTACTGAATAATTCAACATGAAGTGCTCGGAGGTCTGATGCTTAACATAATCAATAATGATGCTCGGCCCGTGGTGCGCGCTACATGCACGACCACGCCCCTCGGCCGAATCACCGCACAAACATGAACATACATCGAACAACACAATCTGACTGAACATGATATCGCATAAAATAGCTAGATATGCGAAGTTTGTTCGGAAGATTTGACTTAAAACATGACATGCTCGATACCATCCTACGCACGGCGGACACAATTCACGGCTAACATAGGAATTGATTTACATGACAATGATATATATACAATAAAGAGGTCTCAAGTACTATACCTCTTCAAATGCTCACTTGATCGAGTTAAACACTCGAAATACTTGACGCTCGCCGTGACCGTACGTGCTCTAAGCTTGCGTGCGTACTCGCCGTGCGCTTGCGGTGATACTAAGGTAAGTTCTCTCAACTATGGTAGCATCCTCACTATCCTTACAATACTAAGTATATATGATATGCAATATGAGGAGGAAAATTCTCCCCAACTCACCATATATATATACAACCGAACCAAAAATGGGATGATGAGGTGAGTTGTTGTCCTCAAATATTGCTTGACACTTGGAGGCAAGATCAAGGCTTAAGGATGACTAATCACCGTTATAACTTGCCACCTCATGCTTGCCAAAAGGGAGAAAAATAGCTCCTTTCCATTGAAGAAAGCTCACGGCTTTTTCCCAATAAGTGGGGAAAATGAACCCTTAATTACTCACGGCTTTGAGAAAAAAATTGGGGGAAATGGTACGACTTTATATTGCTCAAGAATGATTAGTAATTACCTAAGCATAATTAAATGCTTAACTAATTAATTAAACATAATGCCTAATTACCAAAATTATTCCGAACGTAAACGGTACGTCGAAAATAATTTTGGATAATCTCGACAGAAATTATTAATTTTGAAAATAATACTCAAAAATATTATTATATCGGAACTAAAAACATGATTTATATTATTAATCTGATGGAATATTACAAAGATACTCAACTTATTGACTCTAAAGGTTGTCACTTCCTTTAAGCCGCCATGGTATACCCGACTAAGTGGCTCTTATTTCAAGCCTCCATGGTAACCCATAAAAAATGACTCTTATTTCAAGTCGTCATGATATACCCGACCTAGTGACTCTTATTTCAAGCCGCCATGTTATCCCAACATAGTGACTCTTATACGCTGGAAATCGTCCTGATATTGGTTATAAGAAAGAGAGCAACCTCTAGAGTCTGAATTTAGAATAATCTAGTGGCATAACTTAGAATACTCAAGTCTCTTCCCTGATCTGAGTCAAGGAATTTCTCTCTAGAATGTGCCATTTAGGTGGCAAAAGGGACAATTTTTATAGAAAGCGGGTTTGAGAAGCGTGTCTGATAAGACTTTTGCTACTCAATACCTCACAAATCTCTAGACGAATCGAAAAAAGTCACTCAATTAATCTAGAGTTCGATCTAAAGTTCTCGAATAGAGCCCTTTTCTAAAGTCCTGAATTCTTCTCGAAGGATAGATCCTATGCCCCTAAGAAAAACTTATACTGATCTGAGCATCTAGACTAGCTTATATGAAAAATTTCTGATATCCTGTTGCGCATAGACTTAGAAATATGCTTATAAATAAAATTTAAACCAGCACTTACCTGGTAGTCGGCGAGGCG